CGGGGTGGCCCGCGAGCGAGGGAGCCGCACCCTGCATGCCTCGATTGCCTGAGCTTGCCGACAATCTCAGATGTGGTGCGCGCGCCCTCAGAGGCTGCTCCGCGGCGACGGCAAGTGACTCCAGTGCGACGGCCCCGCTGAAAGAAGCTCGCGGGCGAGGCCACAAGCGAGGGGATGGGCGCCCTTCGCGACAGCGGCCAGGAGGCGTGCGGCTTTCGGACCTCCGCTGGCCATCCTCCACATTGACGCCTGAGCACTGGCTACCGCGACCCCGCGATGTCTGCCAACCGGCCAGCTCAGAGCTCTCGAAGCGAGTGGAATGGATGGGCCCGCAGCCCAGCTCTCCAGGCCAACCGAGCAGCGGAGACCGCGTCGACCAGCCTTTTTTCAAGCCGTCAGCATAGCGCGTCGGCCAGAGGTCGCGAGAAGGTGCCGCCCTGGGCCTCTTCGGGCGAAGGCCGCGACACGCTCCGGCCCGCGCATCTGGCGCGCACGGGGCTGACCATCATTGATGGGCAGATCTTCCACCACCACTACCATAAGTCCCTTTTCCCCCGTCCTGCCTTCTCCCCCGTCCTACCTATGGGAGTGGTGGTGGAACATCGGCCCATCAATCATGACTACGTCGGGGGCCCCGCCGGGCTCACTGAGCCTGGCCATGGGGAAACCAGAAGGCACCGATACCGCTGCCCCCCGGACCTCTCCCGAGGGTGCGTTCTGACCAGAGTTTCGACGCGCATCCAGCGGTGGCGACGGGGGCCTCTCAGGAGGCCCCAAACAGGGGAAAACAAGGGAAGGGTGGCGGTATGGGTACCTTTATCTCCTCTGAGGCCAGCCCCCGGCCCGAAGCCCAACGCTCACAAATCCGACAGGAGCACACGAAGCTATCGCCGATGCAGCATCATTGCCCGGCGATATAGCGCGGGCCCACCGTGACGCCGCTGCGGCCCCCGCCGCGCCCGCTGGAGGGGGCCCCCTGCTGGGGAAGCTGCCTTCGCTCGGCGCTGGCATGCCCGGCTGGAAGCCTGGGCACGAAAGAGACGGATCCCTCCCAGACAAACGCGTTCCACTACTCGCAAGGTAACTACTCGCAAGTGGCCTGGATCCGCCGCGGGGGATCTACGATATTTTACAGCGAGGCAGACACATGTGTTTCGGCTGAAGGCACTTTGCGAGCAGTGAAACGCGCGCGGTTAATGACCTCTGGCGATGCTTCGGCGACTGCGGCGGTGCATCGCCGAAGTCGCTCCTGCATCGCCGAGGCACTGGCGGTGCGGCGCGATCCTCCGACCCCATCTGCTTCGACCCCGCCTCGAGAAAGACAAGTCTCGTGTTGGGAAGAAGGGGTTGGGGAGATACAAGGCACGACCGCGTCATAGGCCCACCCGGGCATGCGAAATATCAGGAGTGATCTGATCATTTCTCCCGACCCCAGCCTCCCGACCCGATGGTGGTCTTTGTGCCGCCTGGGAGGCCCAGAACTTCTGGGCCATCGGGCTGAAGACTCAGCCCCACCCTCCTCCCCCC